TCCCCTTGCTAGAAATTTAATCAACGGCTAATCACCACCCCTCCCAGGAGAGACATCATTAAGTATGTTCATGAATCTTATGTGAGCTTTGCATGTGCATAAGAGGAAGTAGGTGACCATGCTTTAGAAGTTGTAACTATCACTGTATGGGGGAATAAGTAGTGGGTCAAATTTGTACACTACTGCTACAGGGCATAACCGGTCTTTGTCATTGCTATCATCGTTTCACGTAGGTGTCACAGTCGCGAGGTTTCATGCACCAAGGACCGTGCAATATCAACAAAGACCCGTCTAGACCCTAAAGAGCTTCCGAAACGTTCCCAGGGACGGATGATACGGTAATTGCGCTGTATTCTAGACTTTTCCTGCATTCCGTAGCGGTAGTTGATAGATGGGGAGATATGATATCAGCCACTCGATCGAATGTCGACCAACGAATATAATCAGAAGGCCTATAATATAAGAAGGGGCGCCCACCCCATTATTTGTAATCATCTGACAATTGAAAACAATAAAAATCACTTCTCTCTCAGAGCTTCTCTCTAGACTTTCTCTCTCTACGATCCGGTAAGCAAGTGAGTGATCGAGAAAAGGCTTGGCTTAGGCGCTCCAATGATCCAAAGAAGCCTAAGTCACTATGGGTCCAATCCCAAACAACCGACCCTTGACAAGTGGTATCAAAGTCAGTAGAGAGAGTCCATCCAAGGAGATCGAGGAGCACATCAACTGGTTGAGATAAACGTCAAACCAAGAACAACTTGCTTCAATTGTCGTGGATGAAAGGGATTCCAAAGAACAGGTTGTCCAAGGAAAAGCTAGTATCGTGAACGGTGAGATGCCCGTTCAAATGGCACATAAGCTGGATGTGCCGAAGCCTAAAGAATTCAAAGGCATCCGGTCCGCCAAAGTGGTGGATAACTTCTTATGGAGCATGGAGCAATACTTTGGTGCCGTTGGAATCCAAGATGGATTGGCCAAGGTAGTACAAACCGCTTCGACCTTCCTAGTTGATAATGCCATACTTTGGTGGCGTAATAGATGGGACGAGACAAAGCGAGGCGCGAAGCCTAAAGAATTCAAAGGCATCCGGTCCGCCAAAGTGGTGGATAACTTCCTATGGAGCATGGAGCAATACTTTGGTGCCGTTGGAATCCAAGACGGATTGGCCAAGGTAGTACAAACCGCTTCGACGTTCCTAGTTGATAATGCCATACTTTGGTGGCGTAATAGATGGGACAAGACAAAGCGAGGCGCGGATCCCATCAATACTTGGGATGACTTTGTAGAGGAGTTTTGGGATTACTTCTTCCCCGAATTTGCTCAACAAGAAGGCCGTAGCAATCTCCATCGCCTTGAGCAACGAGGCATAATCCAAGAGTATATGAAGGAATTCACCGAGCTTAAGCTCCAAATTCCCAACCTTGGGGAGGAAGAGGCTCTCGGAGTGTTCATGGATGGACTGAAGCAATGGGCATAGCTAGAGCTCAAGCGAAGGGACATCCCACGTATCTTGAGGGCGTTAATTGTAGGCGAGTCTCTTGCCGATTTCACCAAGGAGTCCTTGAAGTCCAGAGGGAGTAGGTGGAGATCAGATCGCCACCACGAGGACGATGAAGAACAAGCTGTACGTGGCCAAAAAGACATGGATCGAGACCACAATCGTGGCTGAAGAGACCATGGTGGACGAGAAAAATCATAGGGAGAAGGGTCTTTCAAACAATAAGACCTAAGGTGGAATTGACCTGAGGGGACTACAAAAGCAAGTTCAAGACTACATAGCAATCCCTGTGCTTCATTTGCAGCGGTCCTCATTGGACCCAAAAGTGCCCAAAAAACAACAAGATCTTCTCGCCATAGAAGAGATGATGAGCCGAGGCAATAGAAAGAGAAACGTGAGGTGTGACTCGGGACAGTGAAGGTTCTCAACTCAATCAACACCATGAAGGCCACATCACCGCCCAAGAAGAAGCCCACAAGTTCGTACTTGTCATTTGTTGAGGTCAAGGTACGTGGCAAATCTCCTTTGCCTTGGTCATTACGGATGCTTCGAGCTTTTTCATGTCAAGTAAAGCGGCCAAAAGCTTGGGACTTCACGTGGAGCCAATTGGTCATCGATACAAGGCTGTCAACTCCGAAGACGTGCCAGCCGTAGGCGTTGCCAATGACGTGGAACTCTAATTTGGTGGATGGAAGGGCAAGCTCTCATTCGAGGTAATTCCACTTGATGACTACGATCTCATTCTAGGTATGAAATTCTTTGATACTACAGGGCCATGACAGATTTGAGAACCAATACGATTGTGTTCATCGACCCGGAGTGCCCATCGATGGTGCCAATGATCCATGGAGTGACTGAGACAAAAATCCTCTCCATGATCTGACGCGTGGATGATGGAAGAAGAGTTGAGAAGTCTGTGACCGAGTCCAGCATGGTGCCAAAGTAGAGGTGGTCCATCCTCCTCAACATGAAATGCCGATCCATGTGTTATTCCTAGAAGTGGCGAACTTGCCAACCAACACGGAGGTGGCCAAACCAAAGGAGCCGAGTCGAGAAGCCAAAGACAAAGAAGCCTCGGAAGAATTGGAGGCACTCCAAGAAACCAACAAACAATCCCGAGTCGAGAGCGTCAAGGACGTCTCTCGAATGGGTGGAAGAGAATGTCACGGTCGTGAGGTTTCCATGCGCCAAGGACCGCGCAATATCGACAAAGACCCGTCTAGACCCTAAAGAACTTATGGAATGTTTCGAGGGATAGGCGATATAGTAATTGCGCCGTGTTCTAGACTTTTCTTGCATTCGATAGCGCTAGTTAGTAGATAGAAAGATGCGATATCGGCCACTCGATCAAATGTCGATCAACGGATGTAATCAGAGGGTCTCTAGTATAAGAAGGGGTGCCCTCCTCCTCATTTGTAATCATCCGACAATTAAAAGCAATAGAAATCGCTTATCTTCCGGAGCTTCTCTCTCTGGACTTTCTCACTCTACTCTCCGAGCAAGCGAGTGAGTGATTGAGAAAAGGCTTGGTTTAGGCGCTTCAACAATCCAACGAAGCCTAAGTCGCTGCACGGTCCGATCCCAAACAACCGACCCGTGACACAGGCATGTAATTTACATCTAAAAAGCCATACGCTTGGCAGCACAATCACCAGCAACGCACTAGGATTTGCTTGATCAACAAGTTAAAATTAAGTGCTGGAATTGGATAATCTTTTTCACACCATATAGCAGTGAAGTGGAGCTTCGTGATTTGCTATAAATGAGTCCCTCATTTAATATTTGGGGAAACAAAGCCAGAGTCCTTGTAGTAAACCGTAGTAGCATTTGTAAGGCAAGTGGTCCGAGACTTTGAGTTGGTCCTTAGTTAACTTGTTCTTCAGCCAGAAAAAACAATGATATTTTTACATCACGAGGAAAAAGGAGGAAAACATTGAGGTCCTTGACACAATGAGGCATAGAAACTCTCCTTGATTAGACTTCAACTCGGGGTCTGTGAAGGTCTAATATATTGTTGTCACAAGTGTGGGTAGATCACAAATGATATCACGAACCAGTTCTAAAGAAATACTCTGCAATTCTGACAAGAAAAATACACATTTGAACCAAATGAATAGGCAGCTCCGAACATAGCTATTATGTATGCATAAATATATAGGTAAATAAATTATAAAATTTTTCAAATAGATCGGAATGGAGGTGGATGTATGAAATGTAAAGTTAATGTATAAAGGCTCCGTTTATTTTGTGGAAAATGTGACATTTTTGGAAAATGTTTTCTCGAAAGCCATTTTTCATGAAAATGACAATATTTTTTGGTATACAGCTGAAACCTAAAAATGAACTTAGAAATATTTTATGCTATTTGCTATCTGATTTGAAAAAATTGAAAAATTTTTAATTTTAATTTTATTATTATTATTAGTTTTTTCCTTTTGCTTTTTTCTCAGCCGGTCACCGACGACGGGCCACAGGCAAGCTCGAGCCTTGCCACAAGCCGGCAAGGCTCGCCAGATTCCAACAAGGCCAAGCCTCTCGGCAAGGCTCGGCTTTGCGGCGAAGCTCCGCCTCGGCTAATCTGACGAGGTCAAGCTCGCAAGAGGTCGATCAGGCGAGCTCGAGCCTTGCTTAATCCGGTTAGCTAGGCGAGAGCCTCGCTCGAGGTCACCAGACGTCAGCGAGGCTCTGGTGACCTTGGGCAGGGCTTGAGCCTCGCCCAGCTACCGGCCTATGGTGAGGCTTGAGCTCGCCTGTGGCCCGCCGTGGTGGCCGACGACCGATCGAGAAAGTAGAAAAAAGAAGAAGAAAGAAAAGGAAAAAATAAAAATAAAAATAAACCGTTTTTGGTGAAAGAAAGTGAGGTGAAAGAAGTGGAAAAAATTTTCCCCACTTTTGAATATGTTTTTTCCATTGACGGAAAATGTTTTCCTTGACTAGTTTATTTTCCGTTAACCAAAAGCCGGAAAATCCAAAAAACGTTTTCTTGGAAATTGTTTTTCATCAAGTGAACGGAACCTAAATGTGGATAGATTATAAGAAATCATATTCTTATTTTAAACCAACCAATTTGATCTAACCAACTAAATAAATTACTCCTAAAAGGATCCTCGCGGACAGAATAAGATTACAGTCAATTTGATAATGATCAAGGGACATTGCTTCTTCTGTCCAAACCAGGGAATCCCTTAGATATGATGCAAAATGGATCTTGTCCTATCTTTGATAAGAGATTTCTCTATGGAAAAATAAGAATTGGAGTTTGAAGAAGGGGAAGGAGGAGTCCTCGGCCCGCAACCGATAGAAGAGGACTCTATGATGCGATAGAAAGCTCACATCCAAATTCTTGGTTAGTTAATAGACATGCAAATATGCATATCCAAAACGTATCAGAAGTCCAGAATAACCATAAACACAGAAAATGAGAAAAAATGATAAACATCTGAGGATGATTCGTTCTTTTATGAAACACAGGAAAGGCCAGAAAGTGGGTGAATGGGAACTCTAACATAATTATAATTCATATATTGGACTCTTGATAAATTAATAAGATATTCGTCTCAGCGTTCCTTTCACTAAGGGAAAGTTCTCCATAGTTGTTAGCTGAAAATATGATTACGCTCGAGGGAAACCAAAGTATACTGTGAGCGGAAGCATGTCTAGAAACGGTATGAACGCAGCACTTACTCATCTGGTGCCAACAACCAACCAAGAAGAAGTGAAATCCCAGAGATGAAGACCCTTGTGCCTGATAAGAAAGCCACCATTCTTTTTCTGGTAGCACTTTGTCATCCTCATGCTATATTTACAGTGAAAAACTCTTGATCCTTATAGAAGATGGCTCCAGCTTTGGTTTCAGAGACTGACATCAGATAGCATATATGGGCTTTACTTCTGAATCAGTTTCTGAATGATGGTCTGAGCGCGTTCCACTTCGTGAATACTTCTCTTTCTTTCTCACTGATCGGATTCGTCTATGTTTTAATACGAAGTATGTCATCGTACCAAGAACTCCAGCCATTGTTATTCCACCTATAACTGTCACAAGAATAGCAGCCCACTTATTGTGTCGACCGACAACAATGTATGACGAGGATATAAACGCCACGGTAGTGCACACAGAGGCTAACCACATCAATTTGTTGATAACATGAACAACCCTCCTCTCGGATTTGGTCTCTCCCCTGACGAGAGTGATCTGTACTACCACAACCGCCAAAGAAGTGAAGAGGGCAACGGCATTCGAGATGAAGAAAACCTTAAAAGATAGAGTACTGACTACAACAGCCATCCCACTGTCGTCATCACCGCCAGGAACAGTGAAAATTGCTGCAAAAGCTACTGTCGCAAAGAGGACAGCAACCACGGTGACTGAGTTGGTTGCATTGTTGATTCCGACCCGATGAAGCCTTCGAAGCTCCTTTGCAATTCCATCCACATTTTTATTAGTCTTGCGTGTCTGTTCAAGCTGGGTATGAACATCTTTCTTGATCTCTCTAACAGTTCTTCTGAGCTCATCTCGTGGTTGGTTCAGTTCGTTGGCTCTTATACCACCAAATCTACTTAACAATTCTTTTATCTCTGTACTCTCCTCCGAGAGGGGAAGACCCTCAGCTATATCAAGGGCCGTTTTATGGTCTCTGGTTAAAGCGTTTACATTTGTATCAGGAAGGCAAAGCAGCTCGTTTACAATCTGCAATAAGTATTAAAACAAGGTACTTTTTCTTAAAGTATAAAGAATCGCCAAAAGATGCTAAAATCTGAAAGCAGATGAAAAAGAAATACACGGGCATAACCTGAGTGTGAATAGACAGGTTTCCTCAAAGCTTAGCTATTAGGAAATGGGCCCACGGTATATTTTTTTTTATTGGTAGGCCCATGATGTTATATTTATCATATCTATTAACACTCCCACAAATGTAAGCTGCAATTTTCACGTGGAAGATAGAATGTAGATGTAAACACATAAAAAAGGACCAGAGACTACAACACAATAACAGGACAACTAACAAAATAACAAGTTATTGTTAAGACTCGACTCTTGACTTGTGCTTTGATACCATATGAGTAAATCGTTTTCCCCAAAAGTTTAAGCTAGTAGAAACTGTGCCCACAAGGTATATCTAAAGATTTCTAAAAGTTGGCTATTGAAGGTTAAAACTCCAAAACAAATGCAATCACAGCAATTTGGTCAAGTAGCCTATCTAATACCAAATTTATTTCAAGAAAAGACTATCTCTGCAAGTTGATCGAGTCTTTAGCTATCTTTGGAATTATATGGTCTACTGTTGACACGAATATAACGAGGCAATACAGAAAATCCAGACAATTAATGTAAAAACAGATTTTGGTAATACCAAAGTGTCAATCATTACCTGAGCTCGCTTTTTTCGGGTGGCAACATGTAATGCTGTATTTCCAAATCTATCTGGAAGCATCACTATAGCTGCATCTGCTTCAAGAAGCAACTTCACCACATCACAGCTGACCCCTTTTACAGCCATGTGCAGTGCAGTTTGTCCTTTCTTATCAGTTCTTCTTGCTAGCTGTGGATCCTCGTCGAGCAACGCTTTTACAATGTCAACATGCCCTTGGCGGGCTGACAAGTGCAAGGCATTCTTCCCGTTTGATTTGGAAATCTCTAGCAAACTACAATCTTTAGACAGCAGTTCATTAACTACTGCTACATGCCCTCTCGCAGCTGCAGATACAAGAGGGGTTGCATTTGATGTACCTATCGTCTTGCTCAACCCAGGGTCATATTCCAATAGCAACTGGACAATTGCTGCATAAAAGTGGTCGTTTCACGATAGATTAGAATTCTTGATCTACTTACTTTTCTTTTAAGGAGCAGAAAGTTGGTAATAAACACAAAAGCACTCTCTTCGCTATGAACATTTAGATAGTATTATTTTGCAAAATAGAGCACTCCAAACAGATTTATATCTTCATTATCAACTAAAAGAGAACTGCAGCCTACAGAATCCATTTAGTGCACTGAACATAGTCAGGCTTTGTTGTCATCATTGCGCGGCAAGTGTTTACTTCATCTCTTCCCCAGGAAAGCTCCACTCTCCAACTCCAAGTGGTTGCTCATAAATATGGACTTCACACTCTACCTTCTATAGCACGAGGGATCGTTCCACCTTACAGTTATAAAGCTATATAATGCTTATGTTAACCAGACAGGTAGTCCTACAGGGGGAACAGTGTCTCAGACATCAAAAGCTTTCACTATTCATCATTAAATTATTGCAATTTCCATACAAATACTCAAACACTCAAAAAGCATAGCTAGGTATGGCCACCGACCATCTATGATATGCCATGTTGACTAGATATTGTGTTTCGTACGATGGAAGATGTCACAGACAAGCATGACTCATTTACCACAAAAGGCTTTGCCCGAGGAAGATGATTGTTAAGTGCAGGATTCAAACATTACCTTGGTGACCTTTACTAGCAGCAATATGCAGCGGATCCAAACCAGATGCATTTTTCATACCAATCCCCTCCTTAGTTGAGTATTTCAGCAGCTCTTTTACTATAGCCAGGTGCCCCTTCTCGGCTGCGGCAAAGAGTGCTGTCTCTCCCAACTCATTGACCTCATTGACCACCGCGGACCTTATCTGCGCCACTTCAGCATCAAAATCTGCCCCACTGAGTGTTCCCATCATCTGAGCATCAATTTCACCTAAAATCTGCTTGATGGCATCCAAATCACCCCGCTGTGCAGCCAAGTGCAGCTCAGTGTCATTGTGGCGGCCGGTCACCTGCTTCACATATTTCTTTTTGCCAGCCTGATCAATCCGCTTCCCGGAGTTGGACAAAACCAGAGCCTTTCCAGAATTCGAGACAACTAGAGCCTTCCCAGAATTTGATAAGACCAGGGTCGGTGTTGCCGTCGCCGAAGCTGAAGGAGATGCTGGGATAGGCGAAGATTCCGGGATGGAGAGGGGCTTAAGGTTGAGCCTCGAAACCAACCCTTTCTCCAAGTCCTTCTCCCGTTCTTCACAAATAAGCCACAATCATCAGGAAGAGAAATTACACATTGTTAAAGCATGACCAGCTAAACCAATACATTGGCATTACTCAACTATGGCTAAGAAAGGTTGAAATCCAATTTGACCGAGAAAAAATTGAACGTTTTGAACCAAATTGCTCTGTCATTAACCGCCATTCTCAGCTTACTCGCTGTTTAGGGGGGAAAGAGCGGCAAATCTCAAGGGCTCGATTGAAAAAAAAAGGAGCTGGCGAAAAGTCTCCGATGCGTCAGATTCCCAAATGCCGAACGGAACTCAAGCAAGAGATCCAAAAGACAGAGACAACGATCGACGACATTTTGCCACGGAAGAACAACATCGGCACGAATACATAACCAACATCCTCGTTCCATGGATCTAACCACGCCGCCTAGTCGCGATCAACGGAACGAAACAGACAGAGGATTCGAACGATCATCGACTGATCCGCCGATCGCACGTGAGGACGAGCGTCGTGAGAATCATACCTTCGTAAATTTCGGACTCCATCGGATGATGATGATGTGGAGGAAGACGTAGAGAATCATGGATCTAAATGCCGCCGCATTTTTCCTTCGCGGCGGTGGAGAGGAGGAGGAGGCGGCGGCGGCGGCGGCGGCGGTGGCGGTGGCGGTGGCGGGGAGAGATCGGGCTCGGAGAGGAGGCAGAGCGGAAGAAGAGGAGGCGAAGGCGCAACGAAAAAACGGTGACATATCTCTCTCTCTCTCCCCTTTTCCTTTAGCGCTTTGCCGTTGAGATTCCCTTTTGAAAATTTAAATAAAGAATAAATAAATAAATAAGTGGAACAAATTAATAAATCAGAACGCACTTTTGGAAAAATCAAACAAGGAATAAATATATCAATAAATCGAAAACGTGCTTAGTAAATTAGGACGCACATGGTAACAATTATATTCCAGAAATCAATTTTTGGCCAAAAATAGATTTTTCTATATCTATTCCGTGGACGAGTTTCTGAGCAAAAATATGTGTTTGATAATGACACAAAATTTCTGTTTCCGAAATAGAAATTCGTTTGATAACGACACAAAATTTCTCCCTTCTGGGCGATCGACGGAGGATGGCGGGTGGCGGCGAGGGGCGAATGATGGCTGCCGGCGGCGGGAGGTGGCCTGCGTCGGGTGGTGGAACACGGTGGCTAGCGGCGTAGCACGACGGCCGGAGGCGAAGCACGGCGGCCAGCGGTGGATAGCGGCAGCGGTTGTTGAGGACAGAGGGCGACCAGAGGCGGCCGGCGTCGAGCGGTGGAGTACGATGTCTGGCGGTGGAGGACGTCGATCGGTGATGGGCGGCTGGCGGAGGGAGGCGGCAGGCGGGCGGTGGCCGGTGACGAGAGCCGACTGGCAGGTGACGGCAAAGGACGGCGGGAGGCAGCGGTGGGCGGGTTGCGACCGACGTTGGGCGGTGGCGAATGACGGAGGATGATGGTGGGAGGAGGTGGTAGGCGAAGGACGCCGGCGGTAGGCAATCGACGGCGGGAGGCGACCAGCGGTGGTGGGAGGCGGCCGGCGGTAATAGCGAGTGGCAAGGGGGTGGCCGGCTAGTAACGAGGGCGAGCGATAAGAAGTTTTTATTTCTCATTTCTGTTCTAGAAATAGAAAAGTAATTTTTTTTTTACTTCTGATTTCTGTTCAAAATCTATTTCTGGAATATAAATTTGTTCCAGAAATAGAAAAATAAAATTGCATTGCCAAACAGATTTATATTCCAAACCTGTTTCTGGGAACAGAAAAATAGAAAAATAGAGAAATAGAAATGATTTCATGTGCGCCCTAAATCAATCGCATGGCGTTGGGCTAGGACGGCGTTGGGTTGGCGCCACTGCGTCCAGAGGTATAGCCACCGTGGCAGTGGGCCCGGCCACCCGCCAAGCTAGGTCTTTTATGGTATGCTTGAACTTGGTCAATATAAAATGTCGTACGGCAGTTAATAATATGATTCGAATACCACGTGAATTTAGCAGTTGAGTTGAAACTAATTGTGTCTGGGTCAATTTCGGGTCAACCACGAGCACAATACATGTTGTGTTCGTGTCCAATCCGGTGATTGTGAAATTGATTTGTATTACCCGTTGAAATTCATGGGTTAGTATTGATACGACATGTATATGAACCGTTTTAGACACGATTAGTTAAAAGATTTTTTTTATGTTATTCACTACTAAAATTTTAAAACGATAGTATTACGTTGACCATAAACACGTTTTGATTTGATTTCATGATATTTCTTTTAAGGTTATTGCAACTTGTAAATAGTATCTGTGAAAATTTAGAATTTTTGCATCAGGTTCGTGTTGACGTGTTGATTTCGGGGTAGAAGATTGATATCATGTCATGGTGGATCATGCAATTATGTCAACTTGTCGACCCACTATTTAATCGTGTTACATGGATTGGGACATGCTCGGGTCACGAAAGTAAGCACAATGAGCTATCATGTCTTGTTTGTATTGACTCAATTTGCAGTATACTCTTATGCCAACATGATGTTGAGGCTAACAACGTAACCTAGTGAGGGGCTTGATCAGACTCTCTGTGGATTAAGGAAAACTTTCGCGCAATGTACGTTGCAAGCGCAAGAAGAAGATTATAACACTTATATGCTAGATATGGTGACAACAGATAATGTAAGTGTGCGAGTGAATGATCGCTAAAGATAATGAACCGCGAATGTAAAGCACACGGCAGCTTATAGTGATTCAACTTTGTCACCAAGCTTACGTCCACTCTTTAGGTAATAGGCTTAACACATGTTGGATTTCATTATTAATTTGCAATGCAAGTTATGACAGGCAAGTATTGTTCTTTTCAAATGATAGATCACTCTATCATGACACAACGATTGCTCTTACACTTGATTTTGTTGCAAATATAGAACAATGAAAACCTATTACAAAAAGTATCAAATCATACTTCTTGATTTAACATAGCCAAGATGAAGTACATTCTCAGTAGTTGTTTCTGCCAACCTTTTCAAGCTTCATTGATCCTCTTTTAATAGAAATCGTCAATCATCCCGTTGGAGATTCTAAAGATGATCAAGAGAGCCGTTTGAGAGTAAGTGGAAGCCTATATTAGAATCGGGATTGCCCATACAATCAATTCTTCCAACATCTACAAGTTTCCTAAAATAGAGTCTGCTACAGCTGTCACTTTACTAATTCTTGGTCTAAGGTAAAAAATTGTCATTTGCTTTTATGATTCTTTTCTGGTTTTTCTACTGCGGATTCCAGGCTTGCAATGGCTAATTTTATGTACGATCAATAGTCATCTTTAGATGTACCTCACCATTATCATTTGCGACTTGATATCAACACGATCGAAAACTCATCAGTAGCAAGTGCAGATTATTTGCAAGTTGGTTGACAATCTTCAACGATGGTATTGATGAAATGACAAGAGATTGCAAACTCAATGATCCTTTTGACTTTATCAGTATCCAAAGATCTCCAAGGACACTAAATTGACTTTGGCACCTCCAAGTCACATGAGCTGCTTGTCATATTGGCACTTGTTCTCCTAATTGTCAATGTATGGTTCCACGTCTTTGCTGATATAATAGGAAACATCAACATTTGCAAAATTGTCACAGCATCTGTACTTATCAAGTAGATATTAGTATCAAGGATAATTTTGGAATTATCAAAATTCTAAATGGACGTTTTCCCAACACTTGACACGAATTGCTAACACGAATTGTCACCTTTGTGTTAAACAATAATTTTTAGGAATATTTTTTACTTTCCACTCTTACGCTTTCATGCCAATTTTTAATCAAGTTCATGTACTTTTAGGATCTGTTTGGTAACGTTTCTACTTCTGAGAATAATTTATGTTCAGAAATAGCTTTTTCTAATTCTGTTCCGGGGAATAATTTCTAAGCAAAAAAACGCGTTTGGTAACAGTACAAAATTTCTTTTCCCGAAATAAAAAAAGAACAAAAATGTGTTCAGTAATGTGTTCAGTACGACCTTAAAAATTTCTACTCCCAATTTTTTCATTTAATTATAAAATGTGAGTGGAGACTTAACAATTCTTCATGTTTGGATAAAATTGGACTAGAAATAGAATTATAATATATTATGATATAAAATTGGATGACCTTAATACAATCATAAAGAAAATTACTTCTTATAGACAAAGTAAATACCGGAGGGTGGTCGAGGAAATTGCAGTTTAGGATTTGGGGTTTGGGTCTTGGGGTTTGGAGATTTAGGATTTGAGATTTGGGGTTTATGGTTTTAGGATTTTGGTTTTAGGGTTTCGGGTTTGCGGTTTAGGGCTTGGGGTTTAGTGTTTCAGATTTTGAGTTTAAGGTTTAGGGTTTTAGGGATTCGGGTTTTGGGTTTTGGGTTTCGGGTATAGGGCTTAGAGTTTAAGGTTTTAGGGTTTAGTGTTTCGGGTTTGGGTTTGGGTTTGGGGTTTGAGGTTTAGGGTTCGGGGTTTTGCGGTTTCAGGTTTTAGGATTTGGGGTTTGGGGTTTGGGGTTTAGTGTTTTGGATTTTGGGGTCTAGGGGTATGGTTTAAGGTTTTAGGGTTTCGGGTTTTAGATTTAGGGTTTAGGTATTGAGATTTAGGGTTTAGGGTTTTAGGGTTCAGGGAATAGATTATGTTCTAAATATATTCCCTAGCCACTTTTCTGTTATGGGGAACAAAAAAAATTGACTGACGTTACCAAATGGATTTTGGTTCTCTTTTTGTTTTAGAGAACAAAAGAATAGAAAATCATATAATTTTGAGCATTACCAAACAGGCCTTTAGTTTGTCTTGTCGAGTCCTCTATAAATTTTCTAATCGGATCACTTCCGCATGAAATCTGGTTAGCTATAGACTGCTTCATAGAAGAAAAGTTTGACATTCATGAAAAATTAAAACCTTGAAAAAAGTTAGTCTTTCCACGAGCTTAGCGCATGTTGGAAGGCGATCACGACCATCGCCAACCTTGAAAGTTTGCAATAGAGGCGAGCGATTTCAAGTTCCGTCTAGGTTACATATGGAACCTAGAACCTACCCATTGTAACATATTCCTCATTTTTTGGAATCTTGAACCTACCATGATACCTTAGAACCAAGAACCTACTGTCACAGATTCCAGGATTGGTTCTAGGGTCTACCCAGGTTCCACCTGTATTATTAATTGAACGATTGTAGTAAATCATCACCTTTAATGATCACCACTTGCTATTATAATTCACTGACCACGACTTATATTTAGATACACAAAGAATATGAAACATTAACAAAGTAAAAGTCTCGGTCATAAAATGGAAGCTCATATTAGTCGTTACAAATTATACACTCATCATTGGACTACATGGAATTCCGCAAGATCACACGAAGTCATATACTAAGAAAAACACAAAAATTAGTTCTAGGTTCACCTACCTAAAACCTAGAACCTATCCATCGAAACAGATTCCTAGTTTTTGGAACCTAAAACCTACCCTGCATACCTTGAAACCTGAAGTCGAGCACATTCCCACTAGTCCAATTCTTAGTTTACAAATTTTACCGTAAAACCATGCTCATCACTAGTTTGCAATAGTCAAGACCTCCATTAAAGTCCACATCGAGGTCTCCAAGCTTCATGCATGTTGGGAGGCTATTGTGAGTGAGTGAAACCGATGAAACAACTTAAAAGCTCAAAGGAATAAAATGTATGGATCTAATGTTCAGGTTTTGATAAGTAAGAAATCGAAAGTTCACGTGGGTAATTTTAAAAACTTTAG